CAAGTGAGCAGTGAGCATGCGCAGTGAGCATCATTCCGGCAGTGAGCATGCGCAGTTCGATTAATAGAATTATCCCGCTCGGCGATTAGCGAGATATTTCCGCCGGTGTGAACAACGACACAATTATCTCGGTATTTCCATCGCCGGTTTTTCTTGTGTGTGAACACGCCTATTATCGTCTATACATTGCACAATCAATCATTACATTGTATAGATACATTCGTAGTATGGTAGCATGATCGAGGATATGTAAACAGCAGCCTCTATGCATTGTATCAGTAATTAGGTTACACAAACGTCATACAATGTTATACAATGTCTTATTAGCCTACTCTAGATTTAATTGGGGTAAAAGAGTGAATAAATCCTATTTAATGTATATATATATACATATATATTTCAATATCCTTCCTCACTCCTGATGTAATCAGTTATCAATCTGCGTAATATACATATATGTATACAGAATAATAACAAAATATAACTACTCTGAGAACACGGCGCGAGCGTACCTTCGATCTGAGCACCTGAGCTTCTTGTTGCATCTTCTTCGTCTCCTCCGTCGCCGCCCTCTGCCGTTGTTCGTCGCTCCACTCTCTCGCCGCTCCTCCTCGCTCTCTCTCGTTCTCCCGCGCCACCACCGCGTCCGTCTGCAGTGAGATCACCTTCTCCGACTCGCTGCGAAGCTGAAAGTCGTCAGAAGACACGTCCATGTAGAGACAACACACGTACGATGGCTGTTGTTGCTGTTTTTGTTGTTGTTGTTTTTGTTGTTGTTGCTGCTGCTTCTGCTGCAATTGCTGCGGTTGTTGCTTCTGCTGTTGCTGCTGCTGCTGTCGCCACCGCTGCTGCTTCTGGTTGTGGTGCTGCTGTTTTAACGCACCTTCGCCGCTCATCTCCATGCTACAGTTTAAACGGATACGAGCCGACGACAGGAAATAGTCGCTGCGCGTGCGCGCGCGTTTACCGACTGACGGTAGGCAAAGGCAAACGGAAAGTGTGAGGTAGCGTCAAGCGGTTGTTTATCCTCTGTCCACTGCCGTCATGACTTCGCAGCATCGTCAGGCAATTCTCTGCAAATGGGCGTTGTGACTGTGAGGTAGCACCAAACAGTTGTTAATCCTCTGCCCACTACAATCGTGAACGCACACCCAGCGCCAAACGCTTGTTTACCTGCCCTGCCCACTGCCGCTGTGATTTTGAGGCGGTGGTGCGCACGTGAGCCGTTGTTGTTTATCCCCTACCCGCGTCAACGCGTTAAAAGGCGCGTCCATGGTGCGGTGTGCCCCGGCCCCGGGGCGCTAGTTGTCAGCTAGGTATGCGCGTCTTTTGCCCCTTAGGGTAATTGCGCGCGTTAGTCCCAATTACTTACGAAGGTGCGCTGGTTACACTTCACTTGCGTCGAGCCCGCGCTGCATTTGCGACTTTTCGCAACACTCTGCCGCTGCGTGCGGATGGGTTTGACAGTGATGCGAAAATTGCCAAAAAAAAAGTCGCCCGTGTGTCATTACGCTGTGTGTGTGTGTGTGTGTGTGTGTGTGTGTGTGTGTGTGTGTGTGTGTGTGTGTGTGTGTGTGTGTGAGTGTGTGCGTGCGCTGGTTACACTTCACTTGCGTCGAGCCCG